ATACACAAAATTCAAATTGACCACTTATGTGGGAAGGGGCCATATTGAAGCTCAATAATAGCAGTTAAAACCAGACCAGAGGCTGACTATGGAACAGACAATTAACTTCTCATATGCAAGTTTAGGATAAAGCTGAAGAAAATGAACAAATGCTCGAAAGCTAAAATACAGCCCCGAATCTATCCTGTCAGAATTTCAAGAACTTCTCAATATAGATTTGATGCTTTGAGCACTGACAGAAGACCTGGTGAGCTGTGGGAGGACACCAAGACCATCACACATGTAGAAAGCAAAAGGCCATTAAAAAGACAGGGGAAAAAAAGATTAAAGTAGATGTCAGAAGAGACTTTGAAACTTGATCTTAATTGTAGAGAAGCTAAAGCAAATGGAAGAAATGATGATGTCAAAGTTCTGAATAGAACATTTCAAAGACACAATGGATGGATGTATGGATTATGATAAGAGCTGTAAGAGCCCCCAATAAAATGATTTAATAAAAATTTTTTTTCAAAGGGTAACTCGAAATGACAGTAAAATACGATAATGAAATGTGCAAAGACCTAGAGTTAGAAAACCAAAAGGGAAGAACACAGTATTTGAAACTGAAAGAACTCAAGAAAAAATTCAAATCCCAAGTTGAAATATTGAAAGATTCTACAGGCAAAATATTGAATGATGCAAGAAGCATGAAGAGAAGATCGAATGAAGAAACTGAGTCATTTTACCAAAGATAGCTAATCAACATTCCACTATTTGAGTAGGTAGCATATGAAGAAGGCAGAAGGAAGAAGTTGAAACTGAATGCATTATCCAAAAACAAGGCTCCAAGAATTGATGGAATACCCATTAAAATGTTTCAACAAGTTGATGACGCACTGGAAGCACTCATTCATCTTTGCTAGGGAATTTGGAAGGCAGCTGCTTGGTCAACTGATTAGAAGAGATTCTTTGTGCCAATTCCAAAGAAAGATGACCCAACAGAGTGATCTATCTATAGAACATTACCACTGATATCACAAAACAGTAACATTATGCTGAAGATCATCCAACAACAATGTGCTGTTGCAGCAGTACATTGACAAAGAGCTGCCAGAGGTTCAGGCCAGATTCAGAAGGGGATGTGGAACAAGGATCATCACTGCTGATGTCAGATGGATCCTGGCTCACAGCAGAGAATATCAGAGAGACATTTACTTGTGTTTCATTGACTACACAAAGGCATTTGACTGTGTGGATCATGACAAAGTATGGATAACCTTCAGAAGAATGGGAATTCCAGAACACTTGACTGTGCTCATGTGGAACTTGTACATGGATCAAGAGGCAGCTATGGGAAGAGATCAAGAGCATACGTCATGGGTTAAAATCAGGTAAGGTGTGCATCAGGGTTGTATACAATCTGTATGCTGATCAAATAACAATAGAAACTGGCTTATATGAAGAAGGATGTGGCATGCGGTTCGGAGGAAGGCTTATTAGCAATCTGAGATGTGTGGATGAGATAGCCTTGCTTGCTGACAGTGAGGAGGAATCGAAGCACTTGCTGATGAAGATCAAGGACTGCAGCCTTCAGTATGGATTAGAACTCACTGTCAAGGAGATACAAATTCTCACAACTGGACAACAGGTAACACGCTAAATGGAAAAGATGGTTAAAGTTGTCAAGGATTTCATCTTGCTTGGATCCACAATCAATTCTCATGGAAACAACCATCAAGAGATCAAAAGACAACTTGCATTGGGTAAAACTGCTGCACAAGACCTTTTTCAAGTATTGAAAAGCAAGAATATTGCTCTGAGGACTAAGCTAAGGTGCACTTGACTCAAGCCATAGCATTCTCAATGGCTTCATATGCATGTGAAAGTTGGACACTGAATAAAGAAAATCAGAGAAGAATCGATGCATTTGAGAAGAATGTTGAAAGTACCATGGACTGCTAAACGGACAAACTGGTCTGTCTTGGAAGAAGTATAGCCAGAATGTTCCTTTAAGGCAAGGATGGAAAGACTTAATTTTACATACTTTGGATGTGTTGTCAAGAGAGATCAGTTCCTGGAGAAGGACATCATGTTTGGTACAGTAGAGGGGCACTGAAGGAGAGGAAGGCCCTCCACAAGATGAGTGGACACAGTGACTGGAACGTGGGTTCATGCATAGAAATAATTGTGAGGATGGTGAAGGACAGGGTTGTGTTTCATTCTGTTGTGCGTAGGGTGGCTGTGGGTCAGAACCAACTGGGCACCTAACAACACAAGCAACAAAAATACCTGTCATCCATAGCCTTCTGCAAACTGGGAGTTCCCAACTTAAGTGTAGTATCACACCCTCCTTTAGAATTGCATTTCATGATTTTTATATTTATGCTAAATATAAATATCTAATATAAATATATTATATTTATATTTGCATACACTTATATTTACAATCCTTGGCTCACACAGGCTGGTGTGCTTCTTCAATGTGGACTTAGTTGATGCCTCACTTAGACGGCTGCTTCTTTGAAGATAATGTTTTAAGACCAGAAGTACTATTCTTTCTGGTAGCCAGGCACCGTCTAATTTCTTCACCACACTTTGCCCTGGCACCCATATCTTGAGTGATCTCTTTATGAGGGTGAGCATTGAGCAGGGTCACGTCATAAGAACTAATTGGTCTTATATTGAGGTTAGAACTATGTGCAAGTCTAAAATCCATTCATATCTCTATAGTATAAATATATCTCTGCTTCACTTTAGAGACAGCATTATCATTTTGTGATAGAGAACATCAATCATCCCCCTGGAGCATAAGGTAATTTTATTGACTGTGTCATTAACGTAGCCAACGGTATAGAATTAAAATCACTGCTGACAAAGTTATACAAGTATAGGTCAGCGTCAGAGTGTCATACATGGATTCTTGACTTGTGCAGATTAAAATCTTAAGTGACTGGCCAGTATTTACGCAAACAATGGGGGTTGGTGATAGGGTAAAATGTTCAATAAAAGTCATTCACTAAAGTAGAACCATGCATGCCTACCAGATTAAAAAAATGACATTGCATTGGGTTAGGTATCTTATTTTAGTAAGGTATCTTTCATTTTAAACAAAAAATAGCTTCCTATGTTTTTCTTAAACTGTTGTGGGCCAATATTAAGCTTAATAAGATAGGATGAATAAGGGCTATCTCCAAGATTCCAGACAAGAGTAAGGGACCGAAATCTACTCTCATCTTACCTCTTACTACACCCGAGGTGGGAAGAGGGACTGTTAATGTCGGTAGAAAGGAAAGAACCCGCAGAAAGAGACATACTCCCAGGGTACCCCAGTGTCTTTTCATCGGATTAAGGAGAGGACACAGAGGGAGGCCTAACCAATTCCTAACTGAAAACGCTGATAATGTGCTGGAGAAAAGGCTCTCAAAACCAGCCAATAGACAAAGGATGGAGGTAGGGCTGATTTAGATCTGTTTTTGTTCAAATGTTGTCCTCTGGGCACTCTGGGAAGACTTCCAAAAGAAATACTTGAGATAAGGTCTGAGTTGGAATTAATTATGGGCAGGCAACAGAGGAAGGAACGAGTTTTCTCAGTGGAGAGCACTGTTTGTGCAAAGCACATGAACAGGAGGAAGCACTGTGCCGTAAAGGAGGAACCGGAAAGCTAGGCTAAGGTACAGAGCAAGTGAGAGATGTGGTGGAAGATATACTGGGGCCAGCCACTGGAAACTCTTGTAGGCCCTGCGTGGATTGTGGTCTCTGTCTTGAAAGAGCTATTTCAGGAAACCAGGCAAGAGACTTAGGTGATGAAGGTGGTGGAGATGGCAGTGAAGGAGCCATATTCAAAAGAGGGAATTTATTTAAAAAGAGGGAAAGTAAAGAAGGGGCGTGGGTGGGTGGAACAGATGCCTTAATGGGGGTGCAAATGGTTGTGCTAGGCTGATAGTGATGGCACTTGGAACCCATCTAGCGAGGCGACAGAAGAAAGGCCTGGTGGCTAGTGTCTGTAAGGATTGCAGAAAACGTTATGGATCTGTTCTAACAGGCAGAGGCAGCGCCAGTCGGAATCTACTAGTAGGCAACAGGTTTTGGTTTGGGGATGGACTGGATAAAGGAGGGAGAAGGAGGGGCTAGGGGGTTATCCAGGGTCTGGCTTACAGAGAAGGGACCTTTCTTCCCCGGGCACTGAGGTTCTGAACCACGGGGCTGCCTGTCTAGTCCCCGCCGGACTTCTATCCTGGTTCTCGAAAACAGGAATATATTTTTGCAGAGTGAACTGTGTTCCGGTTCTAGGAAACAGGCTCCGGTTCGGAGAGGGAATGAACAAGGAAGTAATGGAGAACGGGACAAGGCAGCTAAGGCAGGCTGGAGAGCTGAGGGTCTGAGGGGAGAGTCTAGGTAGCCAGGAAAGAAGAGGAGATGACCAAGATGGAGAAGAGAGGGGAATAGAGGGTGCTCTGGGAAAGGGGAAGTGAGGAGGAAGAGCCTAGGAAATGAATTTTGTGTTTTAGTTTCATAATCAACGCAATACGGTGGAAATTTCGAGAAACATAACAAAGAAAAGGAAAACAAAAACCGCCCCAGAGTGGCTTCATCTAAAAACATCCATTGGGAACCCACGGGTATTTCTCTCTCTCTCTCTTTCTGCTTTTACCCCCCTTGCATTTTAAGAACGGGTAAAAGTGGGCCGTGGATAGAACTTTATGCCACGTTTTCAAAACTGAAAACACTAGTTGCGAACACTTCCCGCGGGCTATCCCAAGTTCTCCCTGGACAGATTCGGGAAAACTGGTAGTGAAACTGACTTGTGTTGCAGCTTCAGGCGGCTCCTGGGAGGCAGACCAAAGCTCTTCTCAGTTCAGATCCCTACCTGCACAGTATCCCCCTGGGGAAGTGCAGATCTCCCAGCTGGGCGTCTGCATGGGTGGGGGTTGGGGATGAGGTGCTCTGAGGTCGGAGCAGGAAACGTGTCTGGGTGCGCCTGCTCCAGGCTCAGAGTTCTGCGGGCCGGGGCAGAATCAGGGCTCAGGTTTCCAGAGGCCGGCAGCCAGGAGCAGCCTCAGCCTGAGGCCATGGGACTCTGGCAGCTCCTGCTGTTCTGGGGGCTGTCCCAGGTTTGGGCCAGCTCTGAGGGTGAGTGCAGGGCCTGAGGGGGCGGGGGGCAGTCTGGGAGGGCGGCTGGCTGGGAGAAGGCGCGAGCAGACCAGGCTGGGCACCTGCAGTGCCCTCTGCAGGACTGGGCCTGGGCTCGCGGTTTTTGTGCCCTTGGCTCTCCTTCACCCTCTACCCTGGTTTTTGTGCCCTTGGCTCTCCTTCACCCTCTACCCTTCGCCTTTGCTGTGTCCCAGGCCCTGCAGAGAATTTCACTTTCCGCGCTCTCCAGATCTCCTCCTTCGTCAATAGCAGCTGGGTGCTCACGGATTGCTCCGGGTGGCTGGGGGAGCTGCAGACCCACAGCTGGTGCCACGACTCGGACGCGCTGCGCTTCCTGCTGCCCTGGTCCCTTGGCAACTTCAGCGAGCAGCAGTGGGAGGATCTGCTTCAGCTATTTCAGTTTTATCTGCTCAAATTCCAACGCCTTGTGCATGGATTCGTCAGAATGCTGCGGGGAGACTGCGAGCGGAGGGGTGGGATCCTGGGCACGTACCCAAACTGGGCCAGAGGACATAGAATTCCACTTGAGAGACTGGCCCACGTGAGTCGGCCCCCTTCTTTCTCTGCCCTCTTGGGATGATTTCCACTTGTCCCTGGAGATGGCTCCCAAGATCGCATTTTCCATTTGCTCCAAATCGCCCACTCCCACCCAGAACCCTGGGGCAGGTTGACTCTCACTCACTCGAGGGCCAGAGTCCGAATTCGCTTGACCTTGAGATTTTGTTTTCCTCTTTTCTGGATGCCCAGGATAGTAGTAGAGCCCCGAGCGAGACCCGCTTTTCCCCTTGATCCCTGCAGTCCCTTACACCTCTCTGATCTTCATATGTCTCCTCAGATCCCATTGAGATCCAGGTGTGTGCTGGCTGTAAGGTAAACTCGGGGAGCACCACAGAAACCTTCCTCCTCGCAGCCTACCAAGGAAACGACGCCCTGAGTTTCCAAGGAAACTCTTGGAGGCCAGCTCCAGAGGCCCCTCCTTGGACTGCACTGATCACCAACGGGCTCAATCAGGATGAAGTGACCACGGAAATGGCACAGCACTTGCTCAGGGAAACCTGTCCCCAACTTGTCCTTGGTCTCGTTGAGGCGGGGAAGGCAGAACTGGAGAAGAAAGGTCAGCTTGTCTCCCTTACCCATCCCTTCACCTTGGCGTCTCTAGGATTGGTGCCACCCGCCCCTCAATGCATCGCTCTCGTCCCCAAACCAAAATCGACACTCACTGTCGTGGAGTTGTTGTCGATTCATAGCAATAGGTCAGGGTAGAGCTGCTCGGGTGAGTTTCAGACACCTGTAACTCTTTACCAGAGTAGAAACGCCCATCTTTCTCCCAAAGAGCAGCTGGTGGTCGAACTGCTGACCTTGCAGACTGCGGTGCAATGAGTAACCACTGTACCACCAGGGGTACTCCCTCCTGTGTCCTTTCTGATTCAAGGTGACCCTATAGGACAGGCTCTAACGACTCTGGTGGCTTTCTGATGCTGTGAATCTTTACAGCAGTAGGTGGCCTCCTCTTCCTCTCTCACATATACGGGGTTCCACCAGGTCTCCTTAGTCATGTTTATTATCTATTTTAATCGAAGAATACTATGGAATAAATACAGCTGTAAATTCTTTAAGTGCTATTATTCCTTGTTGTTGTTGCTAGGTGCTTTCCAACCCATAGCTACCTTTATGCAAAGCAGAACTAAACATCGCCTAGTCCTGCCCCCTCTGCACAATTGCTTTTTTGCTTCAGCCCGTTGTGGCGGCCACTGTGTCAATCCATCTCCTTGGGGCTTTCCTCTTTTTCGCTGCCCCTCCACTAACCACCATGTCCTTCTCCAGGGTCTGGTCTTCCTGACAACATGTGCAAAGTATGTAAGACCAAGTCTTATCCTCCTTGCCTCTGAGGAGTATCCTCGGTCCTTATTTCTCCCAACACAGACCAGTGCTTGTCTTTTGAGCAGCCCACGGTCCTGTCAATGTTCTTCTCCAGCACTACGATTTAAAAGCATTGGTTCTTCTTCAATCTTCTTTATTCAACGTCAAATTATATTAGTAACTGAGCAGAGCCATTACAATTTTTCTCTCTCCATTAATGACTACTTCATCTTCAAAATAGTTATTGATATAGGTCTACAGATACTAATTACCACAACATTATAATGGAAATAGCGGAACATTAAAAAAAAATCAGCAACAGCGATAACAGTCCCAAAACTGAAAGGGTCACTTCCTGGTGTAGTGTGTGCAGAGAAACTACATGTTCTGAAGCACCTTTTTATTTGAATCATAATAAGACAGCTCTGACATGAGTGCGTTAGAAGATTCAAACATCTTAGCAAAGAGTTTTTTCCTTGTAGATACATGTAAACTGGGATTACAAAAATGTGTGTGTTGCTTTAAGTGCTAAAGGGATATTCTTATAAAAATAATAAATCTCCACTGAAACACTGCACACAAAGTCAATACACACTCCCTCTGACAGTGCCAGCTGATGCAGCCCCCACCCCTCACTCACCCTAGGGTCACCACTATCCTTCAGTCTGAGACTCCGTCTAGGATTTTTCATTTCGTTGTTCTCATCCCTTTAAGCAACAGAAGAAGCGAAAGGCTCAAGAGGGGATGGAGACCTGGTGAGGATTCTCCTTTATTCTGTAGACATTAATTGAGCAGTTACTAAGCCTAGGTTGTACTCGCCTGCAAAGATTCAGTCTCAGAATCCCTATATAGGGTCGCTATGAGTTGAAACTTACCTGAGGGCAGTTTGGTTGGAACCACTTCCTACTCCCCACTATCTCAGCTGGAGTCAGGGGAAGGGGCATGCGTATCAGGGCAGACATTCCCAGAGAAGTTCACACAAATCGATGAAAGCTATGAGGGGCTTCATGTCCAGAAGTGAAAACGTGGGAAGCATGAGCTTATTCTAATACAGGGAGCAGAGTCCGCACGTTAAGATCTTCCTCCCCCATCCCCTTTTTTTTTGGTACAGAGAAGCCTGTGGCCTGGCTGTCCAGGGGACCCACTCCTGGTCCTGACCGTCTGCTGCTGGTGTGCCGCGTCTCTGGATTCTACCCGAAGCCTGTGTGGGTGACGTGGCTGAGGGGGGAGCAGGAGCAGCCTGGCTCTCGGCGAGGTGATGTCCTGCCCAATGCTGACGGGACCTGGTATCTCCGAGTCACCCTGGACGTGGCGGCTGGGGAGGCTGCTGGCCTGTCCTGCCGAGTGAAGCACAGCAGTCTCGGTGGCCAGGACATTGTCCTCTACTGGGGTGAGAACCAACGTGGACCCAGCTGGAAATGGGAGGTGGTCCTTGGTGTTACTGGGAGAGCTGGGAAAAGGATAGGGCTTTCCAGGGATGGAGTTTGACAGAGAGGAGCTTCAGAGACGAGGATCCCAACCAGGAGGGATGAGAGAAAGGCCTCTCATCTACAGGAAGGAGCAGGAGGAAGGCCAGATAAGATGCTCCATAAGGCAGGGGGTAAAAATCCAGCAACCAGGAAGATGGACTCTGAGATCCTGAAGTAAGCTGCAATCGAGTTCCAGCGGAATGTCATCCTCCTGGAGGCAGGGGCCTTGTTTTCCGCATGCTGCTGTGTAAGCGAGGGCTTTCCAGAACAGAAATTTATTTGCTCACAACTTAAAAGACTAGAAGCCTGAATCAAGGCATCTAGGGAAAGGCTGTCTTTCTGCTCTGGGGGAAGATCTTTGTCTCAGCTTCTGTAGTTCCAGTGTTCCTTGGCAACCCTCAAGGGGCATCTGTCTGCATCATAAGCTTTGTGATTCTTGGAACAAATTATTCCTTACAATTCAGAAGAATTTAGTCTGAGGACACACTGCACACTAATAGGGTCTCATTAACATCACAAAACCTCCGTTTCCAACTAGGATTGCATTCACAGATATAAGGGTGAGAATTCCAACGCCTCATATTTTGGGGGGACCCATTTCAATCTAACAGCAAGAGATTAAGGGCTTTAGAAAGACAAATTAATGAAACGAGGTTTCACTCCCGTAACGATTTACAGCCTTGGAGCCCCAAAGGGACAGTTCTGTTCTGTCCTTTGTGGTCGAAAGGAGTTGAAACGTATGGCAGGGAGAGTTGTTTCTTTTTATCTAAATCATTTTATTAGGGACTCATAAAATTCTTATCACAATCCATCCATCCATCCATTGTGTCAAGCACATTTGTTGCCATCATCATTCTCAAAACATTTGCTTTCTACTTGAGCCCTTAATATCAGCTCCTCATTTTTCTGCCTGCCTCCACACTCTCCCTCCCTCATGAACCCTTCATAATTCATAAATTATTATTATTTTGTCATATCTTCCACTGTCTGACATCTCCCTTCACCCACTTTTCTGTTGTCCATCTCCCCTGGAGGAGGGCACATGTGGATCCCTATAATCGGTTCCACCTTTCCATCCCACCCTCCCTCCACGCTCCCAGTATCGCCACTCTCACCACTGGTCCTGAAGGGATCATCTGCCCTGGATTCCCTGTGTTTCCAGTTCCTACCTGTATCGTGTACATCCTCTGGTCTAGCCAGATTTGTAAGGTAGAATTGGGAACATGATAGTGGGGGGTAGGAAGCATTTAGGAACTAGAGGACAGTTGTATGTTTCATTGTTGCTACCGGCAGGGAGAGTTTTACAAGAAACAAAACAAAATGCAGTCTTTCTGGGCCAACTCCAACCTCGAATCTTTGGGTTACCAGCTGAGCATGTCAGCTGTTTGCGCCACTCAGACTTAAGAGTTTCTTGTCGAAGGGACTTTGGTGGCACTGTTGGGCTAGCAGGCCCACCAGCATTTCTGCTGGGACGAGATGAGACTATGCTACACGTGAGAACTTTCACAGAGCCGGAAACTTTATGCAGGGAAGGGACTTGCTGGCGGTGGATCCCTTTCTCTGTTTGCTTTGCTGTGTGGGCAGAGCACTCTGCCTACATCATCATTATTATATTTTTACCAAACAAAACTTTTTGTGAATTGGGTGAAGATTAACAGGGATCATCTGTTTTACTTTCAGCAATTCCATACTTTCTGTTTCCTCCTATTCTCTGACACACCACTCCCCCCAGCTCCTCCTTTGTCTTTGGGCAAATGCTGCTCTCTAGACCCCAAATGATCACATATAATTCATTCATTACTTTACTCCTAATTACCTAAGGCATGCGCACCTTCCAGCACTAGTGCTCCCTTATAGACCTGTCTGTTGTCTGGTTGACCATTGAGCCTCAGGGGTGAGTTCAGGTCCAGTTTCAAGGGATGGCCAAGGCCACGTTGGAGGTTTCACCAGGCTCTATCCTATATTTAAAACCAGCAAGTCGTTTTAAAAATCTGTTTTTAAAATCTGTGAATTAGTTGGGGGTTATATGCTTGATCATCAACATCAACTCTGCATCCAACAGTTCAAACTACCCCTCACACCTCCCCTGTATTCTAGCCCGCCCTTCTCCTGATTTCACTTTTCCCTCTCATGAGCTCTATCCTTCCTCTCACTGAAGCTAAGCCCTGTCACCCTTCTAGTCCACTGCTTCATCCTCCCGCCTTTGCCCACCCTTCTTCCCCGGGGAAGCCCCAAAGTCTATTCCTTTGGGTATGCAAGTTTATGTCTTGCCTTTTACCCTTAGAGTAGAGGTCTTATATGATATTTGTCGCTTTGTGATCTACTCATTCCATTCAGCGTAATGTTCTCCAAGTTTATACATGCTATGAGGTGTTTTGTGGCTTCATTCTTGGTTTTTGGTGATGCACACTATTTCAGTGTGTGTGTGTACTGAAGTTTCTTCATACACATTCCTACTGATGGGCATTTGGGCTATTTCCAACTTCTTCTTATGGTGCACAGTGCTGCCAGGCACAAATGGGTGCATAGTTTCCTGTGTTATAGCTCTTACTTCTTAGGTAATATACTCAGCAGAGGTATTGCTGGCTTATATGGAATTTCTATTCTCAGTGGTTTGAGATAACACCATATTGTTTTCCACCATGGTTGTATGTGGGAAACAGAATCGGGAAGAGAGTGTATATGGAAAAATTCTCTACATTCATAGGTTAAGGAGTCTTGGAGGCCAGGGCTCCCGTGGAGGGAGATTTTCACATTTGTGGGCTGGAGATACATTCCAGTCACATTTTCCTAAGTAAAAGTTAGGCCCCACGACGTTCCACTGGAATAATGTCAACCTTAAGGTGCTTGCAAGCGCATGGTTGCTACTATATATGCTTGAAGGTCAACTGCTTGAAGGCTACTTGCCGAAGGTTGTCTGCCATCTAGAGCAATCAGACCCAATTGTCTGTCCCACTCTAAGTAGGGCCCACTCTCCTCTGAAAAGGATCATAGATTATCCCACTTGAGAAGAGCTCAGAGACACCCAAGGTCAAGCAAGCTCAGAGACAACCAAGGTTAGGCTGCCATCTTGACTCTAGAGCCCACCCATCTTGTTATGTATATACCTTCTTGTTACCTCTAGTACCTCCCCCTCCTATTGCGTGTATACCCCCAGCTCATCCCCCACATGTTACGTGTATACCTCTAATCTAAACCCTTCCTGTTATGTATGTGCTTACCGGGGCTTGCATGCCCTAGATGATATAAACTCATGAGAGAATGCATTGCTGCCTCATTCTGGTTCCGGTTGTCATGGAAGAGGTGAGCCCTTGCATGCCTTCTCTTATGTCTTTTTAGTTTTACCCTTCCCACACAACCGCCCCCTTAGGACCCAGCTGGATGTGGGGCATGTTTACAGACCCACCAGTAGTGTCTAAGTGCATGTTCCAATCTCTCAAGGGTCCTCAAACTTTAAAAAAGGGGGCCAGCTCTCTGTCCCTCAGACTCGTTGGAGGCCGGAGTATAGTTTTAAAAAAAACCCTATGAACAAATTCCTATGCACACTGCACATATCTTATTTTGAAGTAACAAAACAAAACGGGGCAAAAACACCCCGCAGGCTGGATTAATGTCCTTGGCGGCGGGCCGCATGTGGCCCACGGGCCGGGCCATAGTTTGAGGGCCCCTGCTCCATACCCTCCAGCGTTTGCTGTTTTCTTTTTCTCTTTGAATCGGGCTGTCATTGTCGGTGTAAGGGGATATTTCATCGTCATTTTGATTTGCCTCTCCTGGGTGGCTAAGGAGCATGAACACCTTTCACATGTTTGTTAGCCATTTGGATGTCCGTTTTGGTGAACTGCCCGTTTATGTCCTTTGCTCACCTTTTACTTGGGTTCTTCATGTGGTGGTTAGATTTTAGGTCAACTTGTACCTGGATGAAAGTGTCCGAGTGGAGTCCAAGCTATCAATTCTATCCTTTTCATAGGAGGGACACTGGGAAACTCTCTGTCTGCTTTCCTGCTGGCTGGGATTCTTTGTCTGCCTCCAGGAGGCCCCATGTGTGCACCCTACCATGGCCCCACCGGCCTTTGATCCATGTCCTCTGCACCTATCAGCCTCTATTTATCTGATTCCACTTGACCTTTCTACTGCACCAGCCTGCTGCGATGTGGGTCTGAGGGTTCCAACTAGCAGTGGACCCATGGACTGGGCTAGGACCCACGGACTGGGCTATGACCCAGGGACTGGGCTAGGATGCTTTCTTATTACTTCTTGCTATAAAGTCCTTGCTTTATTTGAGTGTCATGGTTTTGTTTCTCTGGACAACACAGCCTAATACAATTTAATATTTTTTCTTTTTGCGGTATTGCAGATTTCTATAGATTTTGGGAAATCTCTAGATGATTCTCTTATTTGTTGTGTCCTTGCTAAAGATTGGTCCCAGTGCGTGGGTTCTCTTTTTATTGTTTTGATGAAGTCTTTTGATGTGCAGAAGTGTCTTAGTTTTCGTAGGCCTCAGCCATTTATTTTGTATATTACTGTGTGTGCTGTGTTGGGCAGTATGTCTGTGCCCTGCAATGGGGCCCTTAAGTTTATCTGTATTTTTTCATTGATGATCATTATAGGTCTTTGGTCCATATTGAGTTTGCTTTTGTACATGGAGTAACGTATGGGTCCTGTTTCATTCTTTTGCAGATCGAGATAAAATTTTGCCAGCACCATTTGTTGCAGAGACTATATCTTTCCCATTAAAATTTTTTGCCCTTGTCAAAGATCAATTGTCTGTAGGTGGATGAATGTATTTCCGGGTTTCTAGTTCCAGTGGTCAGTGCACCTATCATTGTCAGATACCAGGCTGTTTGATGACTGCGGCTCTATAGGTTTTGAGGTTTGGTAGTTCGAGTCTTCCGATTTAGTTCTTAACCTGGACCTCTTAGTA